GGGAGGAGGAAGAGGAGGAGGAAGAGAAAGGGGAGGAGGAGGGGGAGGAGGAGGGGGAGGGGTGGAGGAGGAAAGTCTTATTTCTTATATTTGGCAGAAAATGGGTAGGATCTCAGTTTATTATTTTACCTAAGACTCATTAAAAGACCCAAGACTTCTGGTTTGATCTAGCTTTTGTTTTATATATGGGAACATGCCTGCAATTACAAAAATCTTTGCTTATTTTTAGTAGCCTGGGATATTTTTTAAAAATACAGAAATAAATGCTGCCCATTTCTTTGGAAGATTAATACTATGTATCAAATATAAGACTTGAAATCCCAAAAGAGGAAAAAAAAGCATGTGTTTTCCTAGTGAACTGACTTTGCAAATGCATGGACTGCGAGTGGCTGTAGGAAGTTTTGCTTTGAGGAGAACGGAAATGCTGGGCGTTTGGCATATTCTGAATACAACAGCTATATTTGTGAGCACTGGCAGACACGCACATGTGCACACGTGTGTGTGCACACAGAGAACCTGACACTGCGTGTCGCCGCGGGAGTTTCTTCTCCTCTCCACTCGATGTGCTCTCTCAGGGTCAGACAACTCTAGGGGTCCCCAGGGTAAGGCTCAAAGCATCGCCTTAATCAGCCCCGCTCCTGCCTCTCTGGGCCGAGCTTTTGACCACAGAACCGCTTCGGAGGGGTCAGCCGAGAGGAGCCTGCCTGGGCTGGCACTGGCTCTTCCCATAGACGCTGGCTCTCGAGCAGTATTGGAGCCAGGCTCTCCTAGGATCTAGCTAGCAGCCCACTCTTTGCAGTTTACAAAGGCTGGCGGCGTCATGGCTGGAATCTTTTCTTTGCTACCTAGATCCATTGTGGACTCACGTTCAGACCGCATGAGGGGCCCCCAGGACATCTGGAAGAACTCCGAGTCTTCACTGTTGCTCACCGACCGGAAGTTGCGGCAGCTCTGGGTGTTCAAGGAGAGAAACTCAAAATCAGTCCTAAGGGTGCTCATGGGTTAACTCGATACCGGGGCGACCGCTAGCCCGGAGATCCCTCCATCCTCTGCGAAGTCACCGGATGCTTGATCTAGACAGGCAAGCCGACAGAGTCTGCACAGTGGACCCCGTCTGTGTGGGACACGTCCAGGGGAGGGAGGGAGTTGGGCACAAAGAGCTGCAGAATAGAGAGCTGGCCCCGTACCCTTCTGGCCCAAGTCTGTTTTGGCCCAAAGGCCACTACGGGCACCTGCTCCTCTGAATGACTCTCACAAAAACAGCTTCCTGGAGCAGTGCACCGAGCAACCTGCTCACTATGGACAGGTAACATGTGTCCTCCAAAAAGACATTAGAATCCTGCACCCCACACCTAGGACCATAACCTCATTTGGAAAGAGCTCATTCGGGCTCTAATCCACAGTGACCAGGTCCTTATGAAAAGGCAGAAGGTGGCCACAGTGTGGAGACGCGGGGGGACCACCCGCGAGGCTGGGGCCGAGGCCGCCGGAGGCCGATGAGGCCTCTGCTTCCAGGCTTAGAGTAGCTGTGGTCCCAGCAGCTCTGGGAATGCAATGCTATTCTACCATGCACAGGGCCAGGATGAAGCCTGGCCAGAGCCCAAGAGTGGGCGGCTCCCAGGAGGAGGGGAGGGACAGGGCCTGGATGCTGGTCCTCTTTCTAAGCCTGGGGACCCTGTGGCCTGGGCTGCAGGCTCCAGGGTCCCCTCATGGCCGGGACAGGGTCACCTGGCCTGGCAGGAACACCTATCGTTTTGAGAAAGGGGACACCAACCAAATGAGTTGCTGTCATTCAGATTCACTGGCCCATGTCACACCGTGGAAGAGCACAGGAGAATGCACACGCGGACGCTGAACAAAGACGGCACTGACACAGGCGGACGGTGAGTGAAGAGCCGGCGGGCTCTGTGAGCCCTGCCCCAGGTAGCACAGAGACGCAATTGCTTCCCATTCGTGTGTGCAGCACCGAGAATAGCCTAAAACCTCAGCACTGAAGAGGGAATTTCAAGCTGGAAGATCTGGGGAAATGCACATGGGAGATGATTCCAGCCCCCCTTCCCCCGCCTCCAGTAGGAGTGGGAGAGGAGCTGACCTTGGATCATGTTCCACCAACATTACAAAAAAAAAAAATCATCTTAACTGAGGTAACTTGTGCTCTCCTAAAAACCCCACCAGTTACCTTGGGGAGGTGATCGGGAAGAGCCGGGGGGACGCCAGGCACAAAGCAGCCTCAAGGAGGACTTAGAAGCAGGCCACAGAGGCTCACACCTATAATCCAAGCTACTCAGGAGGCTGAGATCGGTAGATCGAAGGTCAGAGCCAGCCTGTGCCAGGAGAGCCCAGATTCTTATCTCTAGTGAACCACCAAAAAGCCAGAGATAGAGCTGTGGCTCAAGTGGTAGAGCGCTGCTAGCCTTGAGCAAAACAGGCCAAGCTAAAGCACCAGGCCCTTCGTTCAAGTACCAGCTAAAGCGAGGACTGAGCTACTGATAGAAGTTTGGTATCAATGATACGTTGTTTAGCCATCGTCAAGTCCCAACACCCCACTAGCCCTGCCAGGGCCCCTGGCTTCCGCTTTGCCGGCTGAGCAGAAGGCCTGTGCATCAGCCTACGGCCACGCCGGACACTTACAATCTTGCACGTGGCTCCCGGGTTCTCCAGGCAGACACGAAGCTTGCAGTGCAGGTAGACAATGGAGTTGTTGACGAAGGAGAAGATCCTCAGCTTAAACTGGGCCTTGCTCGAGTCTCCGTTCTGGATCACGCTGGTATAGGTGTTGGGAATGGGGCAGCTGGGAAGGGGAAGTCGATGCCGAGTTGGAGCCGGCCCTGCAGGCCTGAGACCCAGGGCCAGACCCGCCTCTGCCTGGTGTTCCCGGCGGCACGCACCAGCGCCGGCCCGAGCCCCCTACCTATTGTTGATGAAACCGAAGGTGACCGGGTCCCTGGCGTTGCTCGAGGGGGTCGCCCAGCACTCCATCAGAACCACCCTGAGGTTGCTCTTCTGCCTGTAGAGCCCCACTTCGATCTTGACGTCATCACTGGCAGACACACTGTAATTCTGAGGGATGGGGGAATCGCCGATGAACACCTGCATCTCAGTGACGAAGTTCCCGGCGCCGTGGAGGTCTTCAACGATGGTGTACACCCTGCAAGAAGGAGCAGCGTCACAGGCTTGTCTCTGCGCCCCTCCTTCCCGTCCCCACCCCCCAGAGATGCCCCCAAGCAGCGTGCTGATCCGCTAGGGGTTCTGAGCCTAAGGCAACCTGACCGAGGACGGAGGCCTGGCCACCGTCCACATTTGTATAATCAGGCTCAAAGAGAGGGGTCAAGCAGGTGAATTCCTAAAGGGTCCACAAGGACGGTGCTGGGAGGGGCCGGGGCTGGGGAGGGGCAGCCGGCCCCCGCTCACCCCCACTGCGGAGCGTAGCCTGAGGACGCCAGCAGGTTGTTCCGGAAGGCGCAGAGGATGGGGCTCAGGATCTTGGGGTGGTGGAGGACGCCCTCTGGGGACAGGTCATTCCGCAGCGTGGTCCTCACCACAGTATCTGTCATGTTCTGAGCACACAGGGGACGCGAGTGGGTGTCTTGACCCCAGGAGTCCTCCCCTCCCCCCCAGCCCGGCGGTGGGCTGCACTCTCGGGGCTGGGTGTTGCCCCCAACGTGTGCAGAGCTTGAAGTCAAGTGGACCCCGGGCGTCAGTGGCCACAGACAGCACAGGAGCCGCTTCCGCCGCTGCCTGGGGCCTGTGCTCCCCAGGGAGGCAGACGCCGCCAAGCGAGCAGGCGGGGCCCATGCTGCAGACGCTGGTCAGCCGGTCAGCCGGTCAGCCGGTCAGCCTGCGGATTCCAGCGGGGGAGACGCAGAGAAACACCGCTCCCCGCTCTCCCACTGAGCGCTCCGTGCCAGCCCCCACGGAGGTACCGTCGCCCTGCAGAGCAGCCTGGGTGGTGGGCACCCTGGGCACAATGGCAGACACTGACCTCGTGTGCAGGTGTGTGTGTGTAGGTACACACGCATGTGCGTGCGTGTGGTTCCAGGATTTAAACTCAGGGCTTCATGCTTGTTAGACTTGCACTCTATGCCCCATGCCTCCAGTCCTGTTTTTTTCTATCTTGGGGAGCTGCTCTCTCAGACTTTTCTGCCCAGACTTAAACCAAGACCCTTCTACACTCAGCCTCTTAAAGAACTAGGATTACAAATATGAGCCACTGGCTTGAGTGAGGGAAGGAGGGAGAGAGAGAGAGGAAGGAAGGGAAGAAGGAAGGAAGAAAAGAAAGAGAGAGAGAGAGAGAGTGTGTCTGTACTAGGGCTTAAACTCAGGCCTGGGTACCTTTAGCGTTTTTGCTCAAGGCTTGTGTTCTACCACTCAAGCCCTGCCTCTACTTCCAACTTTTTGCTTGTTAAGGAGGGACAAGAGTCTCTTGGGTTTATCTTCCCTGTCTGGCTTCAGACCATGATGCTCAGATCTCAGCCTCCTGAGTCGCCAGGGTTGCAGGCGTGAGCCACGGATGCCCACGGGCGACTTTCAGGGACTAGAGTGGGGGAGGGAGGCTGGTGGCCCCAGCTGCCTCTTCAGACAGGAACTGTCCAAGAGCCCCGGCCTCTGAGAGGCACCAGTCACGCTGGGCGGATGCCCGTCTGCCAGGCACCGCAGGCCGGGCCCCTTCCCCCGCCACTCCCTCTGCCAAGTTGCCCTCTCCTGCCATCTGCTTCCCGGCTGTGCCGGAGCCTGAGCCTCTCCTCCGGACGCCACTCCGCCAGGTTCCCTCTGCAGCCCAGCGGTCCCAAGCGTGCCCAGGACTCCAGCCAGGGGGTCAGAAAGCCCCCCCTCCGGGGGACCTCAAGGGCTTGGGAGACTGAGCCAAGGGCATCACCTAGCCCTGCCCCCCCGTGGACTCAGCTGATCCTCAGCCCTAAATGCACCAATGACGCCTGGACCTGGGCACTAGGGAGGTCAATCAAGGCCCATCTTGGTGGTGAACAGGGGACAGGTCCCATTCCCTACCTACCCCCCCCTTTTCCCCAGAAAGCCCATAGGCCCTCAGAGACAAAGACCAGGCAACCTGAGCTCCAGTCCCGCTGTGAGGAACGGCCGGCTCTCGTCCAGCTTCCCTGGTGCTGGTGCCCTCCTGGCCCCAGCCGCTGGCCAGCTGTCACCCCTGCAGGTGGGTTCCAGAGCCGGCCGCCCACCTGCCAGAGCCACTTCTACACGCCTCCACCTGCTGGTTCACCCTGCCAGGTGAGGGTTAACCCAGGCTGGTGAGGGGTCACCAGCCTGCCTGTGGCCACACCCGCCTCCTCTCCCCTCACTCCACAGACACCTTCTTTCTAGAATGGACCTCATTCCTGAAAGGCACCATTTCCCTGCAGGAAGCTGGCGGGGTGGCAGGGAGCCTGGAGCTCCCTGGCCTGGCCGAGCACCCCGCTCAGCCCCTGGGGAATGGCCTGGGGTTGGGGTCTCAGCACCCAGAGTCCCACAGCAGGGTGGCCTGCTTCCTCAGGCGACAACTGTGCACCCCAATGCCTGCCACTGGCTGAACTCACGGAGGATGCCTTTTCTCCTCCCCCCTCCACTGCAAGGACAGTGCTCAGGCGGGCAGGACGCTGAGGGGCGGGAGGGGGATCCACTCCTGTGACCCGCAGACAACCTTCCACACCAGGCCTGGGGCCTGAGGGGCTCCACGGACCTCAATACAGCAGCTCCCGAGGGACAGCGTGCAGAGCCCCTCCACGCACGGAGCGGGGCCCTCCCTCTCCCTCCCAATCCAGGGGTACAGGCTGGACTCCTCCTTTCCTGGGGTCCCGTGTTTGGAGCCCAGGGTCCCGCCTCTCACTCCCCCCGCACCCTGGGGTCCCGCCCCGCCCCGGCCTCCAGTCCCCGGCCTTACACTCTGCACCAGCGTCCCACATTCGCCCCAGCCGGCCACCAGGAACACGTGGGAGCCGTTGCTGCTGCTCGCGTTGCAGGAGGGCTGCCCCAGGTACAGGGAGGCCGCGGGGATGGACTCCTGCTGCAGGAAGCGCCTCTGCACGGCCAGGGCCACCTTCTCCACCTCACAGCTCACGTCCACCGCCTCCGTCAGCGTCAGCCGGGGGGCCCGGCCCTGGGCCGCGGAGCTGGCGCCCGGCACAGCCCCCGCCCTGGTACCCGCTGGGGGGAGAGGCTGCTCCGGACCGGGGGCCTGGCTTGCATTGCCCGGAGAGGCACCTGCAGGAGGCGGAGAGACAAAGACACGGGCGGGGCTGGGGGCGGGGCTGGGGCGGGGCTGTGGGTGGG